CTGCGTGTCTGTGTGTGTGTGTGTGTGTGTGTGTGTGTGTGTGTGTGTGTATGTGTGTAGAGAGAAGCCACGAAATGAGGTCTGGTTTCTATTCTTGACTTGCCAATTCAGCGAGTCACTGAATATCCCTTTGGTCACTCATAAACCCTCAGTGCCCTAATATAATACCTTCCACCAGAACCCTCAGGAACTCAGCTAAAAGCTACTGTACATGCTTCTGAATGTTCAGGGCTCTCAATTTTTCATCCTCAAAAGGTAGTATAATTATTTAAGTCCGATACCACTTCGGGAAAGAACGCCTTTCCAGTTTATCATTAAAGGAAGGAAACCCTTAGAGGTCACAGATTGGGGCAAAATATGTTTTTAAAACGAAAGTAAATTCCATGCACTTTGACTGTCTAAGAATTGGCTTGAAGGGAACAACTTAAAAAGTAAAGATTAGTATTCTCCCACCCAGCATAATTTTGAGGGGACTTTGGCAAATCTATTCCTTTCTATAGTTTATATAAAAAGCTCCATCTGTTATTATGACTTTTAAAATATGAAGAAAAAGGAGATGGGAAAGTTATTTCTTGTGTAGTGTTAACAGCCCACCACCACTAAGGTATATGTAGGGGGACATACGATGTTAAGAGCAGTATCATTGTATGGCAGTGTGAAATTACATTAGTAACATATGAATGAACACATTCTCACTGTAAAAGAAATAAGACATTTGTATGTATATAGAATAAATCAGGAACATTTCCCTACCTGCTTCTTAAACAGTTTGGAGGATAACTTTTGAGTCCATTTCTATGCATCTCATACACACAGACTTCACATACGCACTCTCTAATGCAAGTTCTCTTTCAAGCATAAATGGTTATCACTGCATAACCATTGCTCTATAACTCATGTTTTTATGTTGAACACTCTATCTGAAGAGTCATATTTCTTAATCTTTTCCTCTATGTCTTCTGGGTTTTGCCTCTTATTTTAGAAGGTCTTCCCCCACCCCACTGGGTATTCCAATTGATTTTTAAAGTGAGGGCCTAAATGTTCACCCGTGGCTGAACAGGACTATGAAGGCATTTAGAAAACGACTCCCTACTGGCTCAGAGGTGGGGGAAAGAGCATGACTGTCTTGGCTGGGGCTCTAAGCCATCACCTCTTTGGCCTCCCATAGGTGCTCCTTTGAGCTTCAACTCTTTTTGGCCCCTCCCACTTCCTGCCCAGCCTTGTCTTCACTGCTGGTCCTCACTCTTTTTTGCTTTCCAGGGGACAACAGTGGTTTCCAGGTAAGTGGAGAGGGCCCATGGAGGGTGAAGGGTGGATACTAAGAACGTTTTTCCTTTTAGTATGTGAGGGGTCAGGGTCTGGGGCTGTGTCCTGGGTGTGAGGGTACAGGCAATCGGAATGAGAAATAACCTCCAGTTTTATACTAATTCAGTTCAATGGAGTCAGGAGAAAAACTGGTTTTGGTGCTTTGGAAACTCGATCAAGCATCAGTGTTTTGATTAACGGGCAAAACCAGTCAACAATCTAGATCTGCCTTATCTTCATGACCAAAAGAAAAAGAATGACAAAATCTGACAAGAAGGTCTGGTTAAATTTTGAACATTCAGTAACTGATTATCTGATTTATATTAGCCAAATTATTTTTCTTCCTTCTACTTTCTACTGCCTACCCCCCACACCCCCTTTCTGCTTTTAGCCCTTCCTAACACCTTGAGATAGATGGGGGTAGAAAAAGAGATGGGATTCAATTTAATCAATTTTTCTACTTACAGTGGAGTCACATCTTATGTGAGGGGTTAGTTTCTAAAGAAAAAACCTAAGGTCAAAATCAAGTGCACTCAAAATCATTCTTGAAATTTCCTTAAATGGGCTAGAAGACCTGGGATACACTCAGTTTTTTTGCCTGTAGCATTGAAACAATATATGTTTCTTCAACTGAGTACTAGATAAAATAATTGATTTGCATTTGGGGACAGGATAAGTGAAAATAAGCACCTTTAAACACGAGACACATTCTGGGTTGTGAGATCAGGACCAGCTACGTAATTTGCAAGGTTCAGGGCAGAATGAAAATGCAGGGCCCCTTGTTCAAAAATTAAGAATTTCAAGATGGTGGCAGCAGAACATTAAACCAAGTGTGAGGCCTTCTCAAGTGTAGGGTCTTGTGCAACTGCACAAGTTGCATGCTCATGAAGCCAGCCCTGGGTAAGAAGCTTGGAACATAATGAGAAGCTCAGAACATAATGAGAAGCTCAGAAACTGAGAACAACTCAGGAACAGAAGCCTCACCACTCCCAAAGAGAAAATAGCGGGCGAAATCACTGCCAGCGTGTAAATTATTCTGTTGTGTTTCCCACACCTTGTCCTATCTGAGTAGAATAGTTGAATTTACATTATGCTAGATCAGCACAGATACAACTCCACTATAAAAGTTAAATGGTTGAGAGGTTGCAAATCCGTATTAAAATTACATTTTTGGATTTTCTTATTTATTTCAAGGATTTACTGTAATTTAAAACTCAGGTTAAAGATGTGTAAAAAGAAAAGAAGTGTTTATATTTCTTTACCGAGCAAAAATTTTGATCTGCCCATGGTCATCTGCCAAAGGCAATAGATCAAAATTAGTCTATTGTGTCATTTTTACAGGGAAAACAGACTGTATTACCATGAGTTCCCTAACTGGTTCAAAAAAGGAAAGTTAGAAAAATTAGGTGTCACAATACGTCCTATTCAAATAAAAAGCTAATTATTTTACTTACTAAAGAGGTTGTCTTTTCATATACTTTTTTCAGAAGGTCATGAACCTAACCTGAGCAAGAAGGATTTTACTCTGACTGCCTGAGCTCTCTGAGCAAGAATGTGAGACAAGGTTCGTTTTTTAAGGGAACTGTCTAATATTTTATAGCACCATATTTTTTCAAAGTGCTTTTATATACAAGCCAGGCTGAGGGCGGTTGGTCAGGTAATTGACCAAAAGGTTTCCAGATAGCAAGTTATTTTACGTCAAAGAAACAGAAGATTGTGCTTCCAAGATATTTTCTCTCCCTGGCTTGGGTCTCTGATGTCACCCCACCTCTTCCATCTCAAGGTTCTCACCACAGCGCAAGCTGAAACTTGACACACCTGCTTTGACAAAAATTGCTTCCTTGTGCTTTGAGAGTTACATATTTGAGCTTCAAAATAAGTGCCATGCCTAGGCTCAGGCAGCTGGTCACCCAGGTAGACCGGACAACTCTCCTGACTCATGCTCACCTGCTCCAAGTTATAGCGCAAAAACAATACTTAACAAGCTCCTACAACGCTTAAAAAGGAAGCAAAGCTGCAATGTGTCACTGTCACAGTGTCCAGAAGTTTGGGGGATATTTTTGGTTAGTCTTTCTATGGTGGAGTTTTCAGGGTGGTGATGGCAGTTGTGTGGTGGTTGTTATTTGGCAAGAATTGAAATTGGAGGCTTCTGTCATCCTGACTGCTGATTCCAACAAATGATATAAACAAGGGCAGGTTCATAGGAAAGAAGCTGGGTGGCAACAGCATTTTCTTTTCAATCTCTTGATCTGTATATTTTAGGAAAAAGGAGAGAGTGGCATAAGGACACACAAATACAAATTTACACGGATCACCGGCTAAGTTTGTTCAGAGTAGTTTGCCAAATACTTTCAATAACTAACACTGAGTGCTTACTGTGTACAGCACTAAGCACTTCACATACTTTGTCTCATTTCATCCTCACAATAATCCAATGAGATAGTTATCATTGTTATCATCTCATGGGTAGTAAATGACAGAGCCCGGGTTTGAACTCAAGATGAGTCCACGTTGTAACACTGCATTATTCCATCTAGGTAAGTGGCTTTCTACTCTCCTTTAAAATGTTGCCTGTCTGGTTTTTTTCTTGAACCAATTTTGCCTCCATAATCCAGACATAATTTCATCACTAAACAGAAATACTTCAGCCTATACAAAATTCACTTACAACCCTGCATGCAACTATCTCCCAAGTAATACCAACTCACACCTGGCAGAAGATACAGTGGTTTTCATGTGCGCGGTTGGAGGAAGGGTGTTTCTGTACACCCGAAGCACGTCCACAAGAGCTGAACAGTAGTTCCTGACCGCACAGAGCCCATCCTGGGACTGCTTATTTACATTAACCAGTGTCGAAACTTCTCCTGGAGATAGGTGCTGCCAAGAACCCTAGAGGAAGTAAGATGCGTTATCTTTTCCATGCACACGAAGTTTACTTCTTCAGAGAGCCCGAGTGGGTGTAACTCCCAGTAGCTAATCGTCCCGCCCAGCCACATGCAAATCTGGACTCGTGTTTATGTGGAGGTGCAGATACAAAAGTCCGTGACACGGTTGGTTGCTGACGTGCGTGGGAACGCACTTGCCACGTTGTCGGTTGGGCTGTCTCTGGATGCGTGGACGGTGTGATGGTGGGCACCCAATTTGGATCGCCCCGTCTAGATGAGGGGTGTTCGGGTAGTAAAAGTTCCACCCGGGGCCGAGAAGCTTGCAGCATTGTCCACGCTGATGCGGGCCGGCAGGCCAGGGAGGTCAGTCCAGCGACCCAAGAGCGGATCCGCCGGCGGCTTCGCCCCTCCCCCAGCGGCCCCACTCGGCTCCGCCCCCCAGCTCCCCGACAGGCCCCGCCCCCCAGCTCCCCGACAGGCCCCGCCTCCAACGCCGGGTGCTCCGGGCGGCACTGCTGCCCCAGTTCCGTAAACACTTCTCTCCCCGCCCCTAGCAGTCCCCGGACCGCACCACTCGCAGATCGCGGGGGGGGACGTTCCCTCTCGCATCCCAAACACCTTCAATCTAAGCTCTCCTTGGTCTCTTTCATCCAAACGTGAGAGAAAATTTGCTGAAATAGATCAAATCTTTCAGAGCTCTGCTGTCGGAACCTGAAGTTCCCCGGATTTCCCTCTCTCCCCCGTGTCGTCTTCCCCCCGCTCGCCGGTTGTGTTATGGCCACGCCGTGGCTGCCTCTCTAGCGTCCCTCCTGGCCCTTTAAATACCGCGTGGGGAGACAGGGAGGCTTGGGGTTGTCGGACTCGTGAGTTTTCGAGGTGTTTTTGCTGTGCTCGGTGAGGGGACACCCAGAGACACACACCCCCCCACCCCCGACCCCCCGATCGGGCTCACTCAGTCGCATTCTCCTCCGCCTGTCTCCGCATCGGACGCGGTGCGTATCCATCCCGGGGAAGGGGGTCGCGGGCTCTGAGGTGATGGGCCTGGGCCGGCGGAGGGGGACACCTGGCTCCAGGGCAGCCCGAGGGCCTCCCCTGCCCACCTCGGAACTCAGTCCTGCGACGCCGGGGCCGGGAACCGTGGAGCCCCTCTTCTTGGTCCCCCTAGTCTCCTTGTTTGACCTCGAACCGCCGTCCCGCGTGGGAGCGGGGCGTGTGTCAGGGTGGCCGCGGGCTTCGGGCCCCGGAGGCGGCGGGGTCGCTGCCGCTTGGCCGCGGTTTACATCCCGCTGGGCCCGTGCCAGCGACCGCGCTGCGAGCGGGCTTCCCACCATCCGGGCTCCGAGAGGGGGCACCCTCTCGCCTGCGACCCCCAGCCGGGCCGGGATGGGCGAACCGAGCCGCGGTGAGGGCGGGCGGGGCCCGAAGCGTGTGTTTGGGGTTTGTTGCCGGGGTTTCCCTGGCGCTCGGCTCGGCCTCGGCGGTGCCCTCCCTCAGGGTTTGTTTTGACAGGAAACGTGCTGCTGGAGGGGAGGGGCGGCCGTGAGGACGTGGGCGAGGGGTGTGCAGACTCCCGGTGCGTCCCCTCGACCTTACCCTCGGTTAGGGGGAAGAGGCGGGAAATGGCAGTCAGGCTCGGGCTCGAACCCTTGGCCTCGAAGGGATGGCTTGTGCTTCCCAAAGCTGGGGACTCTGGGTGGCACCGCTGGGGGTAACAGCAGTGATTCGAGTTGGCAGGTGGACGAACATGGTTATGTTTTTGTTAGTATTAGGAAAAACTTCCATTCAACGAGCGATTTCACAATGCTATAAAGTTTCCTTTTAAAATAAATGTATTTAAAGGCAAAAATCTTGTTAAGATCAAGAGAACTGATTGATAGAGTATAGATGAGGATGGGGACATGGAAACTGGCGTGATGAGTGGTACTCAGATGACTGACGTTTGGGAAATATCGTCTTAGATGGTTGTCCTATTACTTTAACCTTGAAGAAACTAGATAAGTTGTCCTTGTCCCCAGTGGGCTCCTCAGCCCCCAAAATCCCCGTGGTCCCATGATCTCCAGCCAGGTCAGAGACCTTGCTCCTTGCTACCTGCCAACCATAATGAGGTTACTGCAGTGGTTCCCACTTTAGGAGGCTCCCTGCCTGCCTTTTCCTCTTGCTTCCAGGGATTTCATACATCCTCCTGGCAGCCCGTGGAGGTTGCCTGACTTGAAGTGGCCCAGGGCTGAGGATACCCAGTCATCTGTGGAAGCATCTTCAATGCTAATTTGTGAGGGGTTGAGGGCCCCAGAGGGGGAAGCACAGGTACTAAAACAAGCCAGCCAGGGATAAAGTGTTTTCAAGTGTGAAAAGTGCCTAGAAATCCTTCTCCCTGTTGCTGTAATGTTATGTGTAGCGCGAACATCTGCTTTTTAAGACAATGCCTGGCTTGTTGGCTTTTATCTAGCTCTTTGTTGGCTCTAATTTGATGAAGACCAGTATTCTCTAGCTGAATGGAGCAGGCACCTACCTCTCTGCTCTGTGGTTTTTGCTTTGTTTGGTTTTGTTTTTGCTTTGCTGCATATGATTAACTTTTTAACGCCGCTGTTCGGGACTGGTTCTAAAGCAGCATTTTGCAGAAGATGGAGATTTTCCACACCATCTGCAATTTTTTCTTCAGAGCCCAGTCTTACTCCTCTGTCTCCTTCCCCTTCGCTACACATGTGGGAATGCTTGTCCTTGCATCGGACCTTGATCTGGTCTTCAAGGATGATACCACTAGATGTTTCTTGACATTTCTGTTTTCCATGACCTAACCTTAACTAGATGGGTTCCATTCCTCAGGACACTGCTGGATAATATGAATAATTCACTTCAGAATGTTTGTGACTCATACTAATTGTAAGCAGTTAACCCTTTTGATAATATTTGGGTTTTAACTAGGGATTTTGCAGTGCTTAAAGAATGGCTCCCAGATAGAGGATTTTCAGTCACTCTAGTGGGGTGGATGAGAATTATTTTGAACAATAGACTCTTTCAGTGATGCTGTTCATGGTATAGCACTTGAGCAGCCACCCGGGGGTGAGGTCAGCTTGCTACCACATGTGCAAGTGTCCATGTGGTGATGCATAGATCGATTTGGCAGAATGGAAGTGGAAAGAATGAGCAGCACACCACATGTTCTCCAGCCATCCTAGAGTGGTAGAAAGCATGGACTTTAGGGAGCCACTGCCTGGATTTGAGTTGTGCCTCTGTTGGTGCTGTGAACCCTTGGGCAAGAAATTTAACCTCTCTGAGCCTCAGGTTCTTATCTATAAAATGGGGATAATAACAATGCCTTAACTAATAAGGTTATAATGAAGATTCAAGGAGATAAAATATGTAAAGCTCTTATGATGGGAGCTGGGTCATAATAAGTGCTCAATAACTATTAGCTCTGATTGTTAATATTTGCTGTCATTGAGCTTTAGGATGATGGAAAGACACAATGTAAACATTTCTTTAAGCTCTGGAACTGCGAATCTTTTCTGATTTGAATTATTGGTGCCTTGGAAATGTGTTGAGGTAGGCAATGGGAATAGGAGCTCTTTCCTGCAAGCAGCTTAAAATGTGGTGGGAATATAGCTATGCAGACAGCAACTATAGTACTTTAAGTGACTGCGTAATAAGAACATGAGCAAAGTGAGTGAGATAAAAGAGAAGGAAAACCCAAGTTGTCCTGTGAATAGGAGTATAGCTTAACTTGTTCATCAGTGATACCCATTGAGCTCTTGCCCCATCCCAGGTAATGTTCTAAGCTCTGGATGACTCGTTTAGATGGAGTGAGTGGGGATATCAGGGAAGGTCACTTTGAAGTTGTAACATTTAATTTCAAATCTGAATGACAACAAGGAGCCAATCACTTGAAGATCAGGGAGAAGACATCTCAGGGGACGAGAACAGCAGGTGCAAGTGCTCCAAAGTAGGAAGTTTGGCATGTCTGAGGAACCCAAAGAAGCCCTTTGTGTCTGGAGCATGAAGGGTTAGGGGGAGAGTGGTGCAGGTGAGGTGGGCAGAGGCCGTTCACAGAGGGATTATCACCACTTCCAGGAGTGGCCAGGCCACTGCTATAAGCCAGGAGACCTCCTAGGAAAAGGAAAACCACTCAGAAATGAACTCTTATGAGGGATGATTTATTTTGTCTCTTCTGAAGGGCTCTGGCCTATTTCCTGTTTATTCTCCAGGCACTGCTCAAGAAGGACATTGGGACAAGTTTGAGTGTCTGGAAGATCTTTTGTAACAGAGAGATGTCTGCGCTATTGCAGTGTTGGGAAAATTCTAAATCTAAAAACTTCAGAAGACTGGACTGTTCTGAATTAGACTTGAAGTTTCAGTTTGTTACTTCTTGTCTTTTAACTTTTTGGTTGGAAATAATTTCAAACTTACCAAAAAAAGTTGCAAAAACAGTACCAAGAACTCTCTATTGTCTACCTTTTACTCGTATTTACCTATTAACATTTTGCTCCATATGCTTTATTTTCTCTTTTTCTCTCATTTGAATCATTTGAGAGAAAGTTGCATATGTCTTGGTCCTTTGTTCCTAAATACATAATCATAGTACATTTATCAACTTCAGTAAATTTAACATTGTAATATAGACAATAGAGTCACATATTATAACAATGTTGTCAACTGACCCGGTAATGTCCATTATAGCATGTTTTTTCTCTGGTACAGGATCCAGTCAAGGAGCATCTAGTGCACTCTGTTGTGAAGTGTCTTTTCATTTGAGACATATCCTCTGTCTGTCTTTGTTTTTATGACATTGACATTTTTGGAATTCATCACTTCTTTTAGTAAGAATAAAATAGTTGACAATCTGTCAAGCATTTAGTAGGGGCTTAAGTACTTGACATAGACTATTTCAAAATTAACCTTCATAACAATTCTATAAGGTAGATACTATTATTGTCCCCAATTTATAAATGGCACGTTCTCCGTCTTCAGTCAGTAAATATCAAGAGTCGGGATCAAGAACCCAGTCCACCTGGCTCCAGAGCCAGCGTCCTTACTGCTTTAGTGACATGCGCATTGTCACTGGTGGATCTTTGCAATCCTGAACCAAATCAGGACCATTTGCAAATAGGGTTTACTGCAGGAAGGAAATAAAGACGTAAAGTCAGTAATTTGGACACAGGCTGAGGAATTACTAACAAACTAAAAGCCCATCTCCCCTCCATCTGTGGTGGAACACAGGACTAGCCCCTTCAGGTCTTTGTACCCATTCACTCCTCTCTAAAATGTCAGTGGTCGTACCGCCATTCATTCGTCCATTCGTTCATCCAACAATATTTTAAGTGTCTGCTACCTCTCAGTCATTGATCTTGGAAGGAATGACATAATATTGCATTTATTATTATAAAATATGAAACAGTACAGTGCAAAATGTGATTATTCTCTTTGAATAGTGACCCACTGTAGTGTTGGAGGTTTTGCTTGCAGTTATCATCTGTCTTCACCTTGACTTCACCTTTGGCCAGTGAGAAAATCCTCCAGGTAGGAAGAGATGTAGTGTTCCTGAAAAGTTGTTTGGTTTGCTTGTGAGTTGCAATGGTGAAGGTTAGGTAGATCTAAGTTTGTTAGTATGACAAGCATTACCTTTCTTAAAGAAACAGCCTGTTTTCATTATCACTATTCCAAGAGAGAATCCAAAATAGTTTTAAAAGCAGTCTAATTACCCTCAGTGCCTTTTGAGTCAAGTAGCTTTGTCCCCAGATGACTTATGTGGAAACCCAAGACCAAAAAGGGAAGACTAGGTGTGAAGGAACTTGCAGAAGACTATTTACACTGTGATGGTCCATTTACTTTTGGTTTTTGTATTTCAAACAAGTCCAAGAGTTCTGTCCAGGTTCACTACCAGTCTTGTTTATCTATGGGAGAACATGCTTTTATCATCATGGGATAAAACAGTTCTTCCAGAGTTTTTAATGCCTGAAATGATGATGATGACAACAACAAAAGCAAATAATACTAATAATAGCAAGCACCTGTAACCTGTTTACTCAGTGTCAGACACTGTTCCAAGCACTCTACACATATTGACTAAATGAAATCTCATACCAACCTATGAGTTAGGTATTATTAATATGACTATATGAGGAAACAGGCAGTTTCTTAATAGAGTAGTAATGGGCATTTTGGCTTCAAAGAAAAGTTTCTGCTTAGATCCACTAAAGCCCAGTTGTCACATGGAGTCTTTTATCAACTAAACAAGAGTGTCTAGACATTTTGAAGCTTTTAAATTTTCTGTTGCCTCCCCTATACCGGAAACTCTACCTCCAGTGAATTGTTGAAAGAAAGTGTAGTTGCATGTTCTTAAGCATGCCTGCCATGAGCACATTTAATTTCTCAGAACTTATAGTGACGTGTCATGGAACTCTGGGTTTATGGCATTTTAGCAATTCCTAGCTGAAAGGCACCTTATAACTGGCCCAACCTGCTCAGAAAAACAAGGTGAAGAGAGCAGATGTGATGTGCATAAAGTCACGCAGCAAATTAATGATAGACCCGGGCCTCAAACCCTGCACTTGTAGCTCCTAACCTAGATCTTTTTATTTTTTAAATCATTGTACTTTGCTGCCTTGTTGAACACAATCAAGAAACCTACGAAATGTGCTATTCAGCTGGAGTAGAAAAATGAAATGGACAGTTAGAGCTATTAACCTGGTTCATAAATTCCAATGGATGAAAGCTTTTATTCACCTTTACTTGGAAAAACAGCCAAAGTGAAGAGAAATTAAGAGCAGAGCATACATAGCACAGTTGTTACAGTGAGATGACTGAAAACAATAAAAATAATAAAGTGGTAACAGAGTTTGATATTCAAATAAGAGTGTGACAGGACCAGGGAGTACTGAGTCTTAAGCCTAACAAGGTAGGTTCACGTGGCAGGTTCTCTGCTCCAGGACTTGAACTTGGGCAGTGCCAGGCCTGTAAATGTGTAGTGATATCAGTTTGCAAATGTTCTGGTTGAAGCCGTACCAAATGGGAGTCAGTGATTCCAATTCAGCTGACACCAAATGAATACTTGTCACATACTTGATGCTGGTGGTGGAAGAGACACAGTCCCTGCCTTATTAAGGAGAGTCGGAAGAAGCTAGGGGAGGAAAATGGCTGTACAAGGAATGAAGCACTGTCATGGAGATACAGAAGGTGTGCTGCAGGTATACAAAGAAGAGTGCCATTAGCTCTGGCCAGAGGGTAGAGGGAAGGCTTCCTGGAGAAGGTAGCATTTTCAAGAAATGCCATCAATGAGAAGTAAAATGTTGGCAAAGAGAGAGAAAGCTAGAGGGAAGGGCAAGCGTTCCATTTAGGATTTGGGGTTTGGTGGAAGTGAAAGGGTTAGCACAGACCCTTTTCTTCTGTCCTCTGTCCGCTTCCCCTGCAGTGGATAGGAGTTAAAGCTCAAGTCAAATCTAGTGTGCATGGGGTAAAGGAAGTTATTTCACCAGTGAGGGTGTAGGGGTTCAGGGCTGTTTTATAGCCTGTGTTCTGTTGGCCTTGGGACTCGAGGATAAGGTGAATGTTTCTACATGGTAGCTTCCTGGCAGCTATACTCCACGCCTCGCCCTTCGGTCTGCAGAGGGAGACTCCCAGTTAGTGGTTTTCTGTTTGCGAAAGTGGTGGGCCAAGCAGGGGTGCATTTCTATGAGTGGCAGGACTGAAGAAGGTTGTTTAGATGAGGCCAAGTGCAAATGCCCTTGGGCTGTTGACCCTTAATAAGTCCCTCTCAGGCCCATCCTTGTCCCTGTCACCACCCAAGGGATAAAAAATGGCACTATTTCTCTCAACGAAGGCTAGATTCCCCGTTAGTCCCAGCCCTGCCTCTCCTTTCTCGTGCTTCCTCAGCAATGCCTTGTTTTCCCTTTTCTTGTCTTCTAGCCTCTAGTACATACAGTTTTTGGTAACTGGACTTGAGAGCCATGAGAGTAGGGCCCTGCCTATTTTGTTCACTGTTACTTTTCCCTGTGCCTGGTGCACAGTAGGCACTCAATAAATGTGAACGGAGTCATTGAAGAAACTACAGACATTTCCAGGCATACTATTCGTGGTTGTAGTTTCACGTTCTGGCAGCTTTAAAAGCTCTGTGTACCTCATTGCGTGGCTGGTTCAGGTGGTAAGAGACTCAGTGAACCCTTACTATCATTGCTGTCCATTCAGGATTTGAGGTGCCTTTCTCCTCGGGCCCAGGTTTCCCCTCAGTGTCAGCTAACACCACGCTCATATCAGGGCCAGCTCCCTCACGGGCCTGGCTGAGGCTCCTGGGCTCACGTCTGGGCATCCTGTGCGCCCAGGATCTCCTTTCTAGGGGGTGACTGGGCCCGACTGCCCTGCCCTTCCCAAGGAGGTAATCTAATGTCCCAGAAACAGCACTGGGTGTGGAGCCAAGGGACTGGTTTTATGGCATAGTAGGTCCCCTTGTCCCTTGGAGTCCAGTCCATGTCCCCATCCCCCCTCCCACCCCACTCCCCGCTGTGGATCTTTTGTGCCTGTTTGTTCATCAGGTGGCGGTGGGTACTTTGTAAATTGTCAAGTACGAACCAGTATCAGCCCTTACTCGTCATATCATGCCTGTTGATGGGAAAATGGAGAAGAACCTAAAGACTTGCCAGCCCGAGATTTTAATTAGCCATCTCCTATCCTCAAGAGGCTTACAGAGAACTAAAGAGGCTGATTTCAAAAATATTTAAAACAAAGACATCAGAACAATAATAATAGCTAACATTTGAGTGCTGTGCTAAGCATGTTAATTAAGAATAATCCTATTTAATCTTCAAGCAACCCTATGAAGTTAGTCTTTCAGCCTAGTTTTACTGATGAGGGAGGTGGTTCAGTGACTTCCCTAAGGTCACATGGCAAAAGACAGAAGGAGCTTCTATCCGAGGCAGTCTGACCCCAGAGCCCCACACTGTTGCTCTTACCTTCCCATGTTTTGGCAACCGAGGAGGAGAGAGACAGTGTGCTCTGCACATTTTTTTTAAAAGGATCTGTTATTGCTGACAGCTGCTCCCTGTTCACATTGAAATGTGCCCTGAGTAAGCTCACACCTGTGGCTGTGGAATCCCTCTTCTGGAAGGCAGGCTTGAAGGCCTAGTGATAGTCCGGCCGGGGTGCTATAGGAAGGATGAGATAATCTTCTGGGGGCTCTCCACTGCTGTGACATGTGCAGGCATGGCTGTCTACACTGGAAGAAGCATCTCTGCCTCCGGTGGAAGGACAGAATATTGACACAGGGTCTGTTTGTCTATGCAGGTGCTTTACCCACACTCAAGTGACGCAAAATGCCCTTCAATGGCGAGAAGCAGTGTGTGGGCGAGGACCAGCCAAGCGATTCAGACTCTTCCCGGTTTTCCGAAAGCACAGCTTCACTCAGTGACTATGAGTGCTCCAGGCAGAGCTTTACAAGTGACTCCTCCAGCAAATCCAGCTCTCCTGCTTGTAAGCTGACTGGGGAGCAGGGGCTGGGGGGTGGGAGTGGTTCTAGATATATGTTAGATTTTAAAACTCATAAATGAGTGAGAGCAAAGTACCAACTTCCCTCTCCTTTCTAGATGTACCAGAATAGAACTGCAAAGGCAGGAATAAATAGCCACTAAACTTTATTTTCATCATGGACTCTGATCTACTTTGGTATGACTGTACGTCAGGTCCTGCAACCCCTCCTGTCTTCTCTCTCAAGTAGTGGAAAGCCACTCTGTCTTGAGATCACTTCTTGGGCCGCAAGCAAGGATAAATTCAAATTGGTCTTTTCTTATAATTTCTGATTTACATGGAAGGAAACTTGCCCCAATTCAAGGGTCAGGCAGGAAGTGAAATAATCTAAAGGGTTTCCTGCCGATTTCAAAAACTGTTGTGCAAATCACCCCAGAAAAGTGCCCACAAGAATTACTACACTAGGGGTGTGAGGAAGAGTTAAAAGAGTGGCCATGGTGAAGGGAGACGATTTTTTCCTTTTTTGTGTGTGGAACCTAGAGATGTGTAAAGTAGGTGTCTTTGTCTTTTTTTTTTTAGCTTTTCCATTGGCATTTTGTATAGGAAATATAACCCTTAAACTGACAAAGCAAATGCAGAAAGAAGCAACTATTGTTTAATATGATCAAATACCCACTTCAAAAGAGATTTTTTGTGTTTATTTTAAATGTATACATTCTCTTTTTTAACATTTGGAAAGTACATAAGTATAAAGAAAAGAAAATATTGCCTATAACATCACCCAAAGACAATAGCTGGCAGCACTTTGTGTATATATGTGTAGACTCTTTTCACTTAGTATTGTAACTAAAACATTTACTCATGGTAATATATTTTTAAAACATTGTTTTTATGACTACCTACTACTTCATCGAGTGAACATACCATAATTTATTTAACTATTGGTTTGTCATTGGACGTTTAGTTCGTTTCCATTTTTTTGCTGTTACAAATAGTGCTTTATGAACATCTTGGTGCATAAAGCCTTTCTAGGAATTCCTTTGGATTATTGGACCAACGGGTGCAGACATTTTTAAGGAGAATCTTAATGACACAGAGAGTTAGGAAAAGAATTTACTAGAAGTCACCCAGCGTTCTGTGCTTTTTCTCACTCTTTATGCTATATATAGGGTTGATGCCTCTAGCAGGGTACCTAGGCATCCTGATGAAAGGTTTTACTAATTCTGTGTATTACCATTCTCCTCCCCCTCCCCTTCCTCCCCTTCCTCCTCTTCCTCTTCTTCTTCTTCTTTTTAAAATTATTTTAGGTAGCAAAGTATTGCCAGTCAGTACGGCTGTTTGTAGTAATGATTTTTAATTAACAGATGCTAAGAGTTCCAACAGTGATTTCAAAAAGACGTGATTTATTAGAATAATTTTTTAGAATAATCTTTAGAAATAACTAGACTAATTCTTTATTTACTGCTTCCTGCTGAGAAGTAGGTCATCCAGCTTATCAGATTTGTTTTAATTATCTACATTTATTGAGTTCTTACTATGTTCTTCTTTACTTAAATTATCTTTATTTAACCACCTCAGGACAGCCCTGTGAGGAGGTAAGTTATGCCTCAGTGAAGTGTAACGATAACTACCAATTGGCAAAACTTAGAATCGAACCTAACCATTATGCTGTATACTGCCTATACTTTTAGAAATTATAGTTTTAAAAAATCAGTTATTTCATATTGAGTCTGCTTCAATTAATGAGAGTTATGAATTACAGAATAAAAAGTCTTAATTTCCTATATAGTCATGTAATAAATGCAGATATCAATAGGCACTAAAAATGAGGTGATTTAATTAAAAAGGTTACTTAGCCTATACTAATAAGATTGTCTCAGAAACATTTGGTAATTTATTATCAATACAGTAATCAAAGCTATCAAAGGAGTTCTTAAATTTTTGAAGTATTAAGTATTAAGCAGAAGAATCCATCTATTTTAGTGTATATTCTTCTTACTTGTTAAACCGTGAAAATAAATGTTGGAATAACTTAAACTCTGACTGCATCAGGAGGCTTCAGTGGATGACAACTTTTCTTCCATGATGTTAACTGGTTTCTGTTTTTCTTTCAGCAGCAAGCCCTCCCAGGGTTGTAACATTTGATGAAGTGATGGCTGCAGCAAGGAACTTATCAAACCTGACTCTTGCTCACGAAATTGCTGTAAATGAGAACTTTCAATTGAAACAAGATGCCCTCCCTGAAAGCAGGTAACGCGGAGGTGTTTGTTGTGTGTAAACTGTGCTGCAGATTCTGTGTGTGTGTGTACACATGCACACATACACACGTATTCACACTGATTCCCAGAAGTTCTCGTATAATATCCACTGGGAGTGAACACTATTTAGTTCCCCTTCTTTTTTTTTTTCCCTTGTGAAGAAGATTAACACTGAGCTAACATCCATTGCCAATCCTCCTCTTCTTTTGCTGAGGAAGATTGGCCCTGGGCTAACATCCATGCCCCTCTTCCTCTACTTTGTATGGGATGCCACCACAGCATGGCTTGACAAGTGGTCCGTGCCTGGGATCCAAACCCGTGAACCCCGGGCCACTGAAGCAGAGGTCGCGAACTTAACTGCCTCGTCACAGGACCAGCCCCTATTTAATTCTCTAACAAGATCTTATACTTGTTTTCAAACCATTCCTCTAGGGTACATGTTACCATAATCTTTACAACTCAGCTTATATGTCACTTCCTGATGGAAGCTTTTCCTGACATTCCTGAGCCCACTAGACTACATTAAATCCCCTTGCTAAAGACTCCTGTAGGCCCCTCTACCTCTCCTTTGTTAAGATGTCCTATAATTTTATGTTCAATGTCTGTCTTTCCCACTTGACCAAAAGCACCATTAATGGAAGAACTATGTGTGTATTGTTGGCTGCTCTATCCCTATTGCCTAGCAGAGTGCCTGACATGTAGTTCATTCTCAAGAAATATTTGTAGATTGACTTATTAAAAACTGATATTCAGGTTATGAAAGATAAATAAATGCAACTAAGTTGCCAAAGTGCTAAAAATAGGTGACCTAGAAGCATCTGGAGGTAGGAATCACAGGTACATGGGCAACCTCACTCACCCCCACCCCCAAGACCTCTAGTTAGAGCCACACCCTTATATCCTACCTCAACCTTTCTGGCTTCAGTGGCTCTCAAATCCCCTGGGACAAAGAGTAGCAAAGGCTTGAGGCCATAACTATAGATAAATCATCTTTACAGGCAAAGGTGGCTCATGGATAATTGCATTGACTCTTCAACCTCACGGTGCCATTTGTAAGTCCAGAGGCATACTCTCTATCAATTAAGACAACATGTAATATTTGATTCCATTCGGAACTTTTTTCTTTGTTTTAAAGCAGAAAAATAGTAAACATAATTTCCTTCTTTAAAATGTGGATCATAGTCTTCCTGCTCCTGGGGATATTGTTCATAAGGATCATTAATATTTTTTAAGATGGCTGGCCAAAGTGTTTGGTTTTCTATATTAACTGCATTTCCCCGTGATCCTTTATCCCAGCTCTAGTGCTACGCCCCTAGGCCAGGCCATCATCATCTCTGACCTGGACTCCTTCAGTCCGAACTAGTTGCCCCGTCTCCATCCTTAGCTCCCCATAGGCCATCCTCCGCATCCACACGGTCGCCATAGTGATCTTTCTAAACAATTGATCAGCATAGGTCATTTCTTTGCTTAAAACTCTCAGATGGTTTTCTATTGTGCTTAAAATAAAAATGCAGGCTCGTAAGTATGGCCAGCAAGGCCCTGCTTCTCTGGCCGTGTCCCTTACTCCTTTCCCTCCTGCTTGCTGTGCTGCAGCCACCCTGGCTTCCCTGCTGGTGGTCCTGCTTGATCACAAGCTCGAGCCTGTCCCAGGGGCTTTGTCTTTCCTTCTTCTTGTTCAGTGTTCTTCCCCCAGATCTTCACCAGCTGCTTTCTTTTCCTCATTCAACTCTCAACTCAAAGGTCACTGTCTTAGAGAAGCTTTCTTCAACCACCCAGCAAAATCAGCACCATCTTTGTCACTATCTACCACATTGTCTTAATCTTGTTTCCTCATGGCTCTGAAACTGTCTTATTCTGTTTTTTTTTTTTTTGGTAAGGAACATTGGCCCTGAGGTAACATCTGTTGCCGATCCTCCTCTTTTTGCTTGAGGAAGATTGTCCCTAAGCTAACATCTGTGCCAGTCTCCCTCTATTTTTCATATGTGGGATGCCACCGCAGCATGGCTTGAAGAGTGGTGTGTAGGTCTGTGCCCGGGATCCGAACCCGCAAACCCCAGGCCACTGACGTGAAGTGTGTGAACTTAACCACTGCACCACCACGCTGGCCCCATGAATCTGTCTTATTCATTTTTTTTTTTTGGTGAGGAAGACTATCCCTGAGCTAACATCGGTCACCAATCCTCCTCTTTTTGCTGAGGAAGATTGGCCCTGGGCCAACATCTGTGCTCATGTTCCTCTACTTTTTACATGTGGGACGCCTGCCATAGCATGGCTTGATAAGTGGTGTGAGGGCTGCACCTAGGATCTGAACCTGTGAACCCTGGGCCACCGAAGCAGAGCGCACGAACCCAACCACTATGCCACTGGGCTGGCCCAGTGTCTTATTCATTTTTAACGTGGTTTTTTTCCTCTTTCTATCTCTGCTAACATATAAGCTTTTTAAGAGGAGAGACTTTCTTTTCATTACACCCCAGCACCTAAAACAGGGCCTACCACATATTGAATGTTGAATAAACATTTGTTGACTGACTAATAAAAATGCATTTTTGAAGTTAAAATTAGTATGTCTTATGGAGTACAGCAAGAGCCAGTTTGGGAGTATTTGTGCTTTAAATTCAAAACTTGCAAATACAGGCTATAGTGAAGGCACTTTAGAATCAGACAGACCCTGGGGTTTGAATCCTGGTTCTGCTGAGACCATATCTGCCTTACATCCCACAAGGATGAGATGAGGACTACAATACGCACTTCAAATGCATGCTCACGGGCATACGAGTGCCTTGCACATAAGTACTTTCATACTATGGAAAATATGAATTCCTCTTCCTTTGCTTTCTGCCATGGCTAGAAAATGTGAGTAAGGGAAACAACGTGCAGAGTTGGGACATTACCTTTATTTAAAAGTGAAGATTATTAGCTGTTGATTTTTTGGATGACTCTCCGCAGTGGCCAAGTGGTTTTTTTTTTTAAAGTATGGCTGACTCTCATATTTTACCAAATACTGCCTTTGGGGAAAACACTTGGTAAAATATCAGATTTCTGATACCCAGTAGGAATGCTTATCAATTATTTGATTGATCTCATTTCCACTCCTCCCTCCCCCTTCACAAAATTAAAAGCTAAAAATTACCTTGAAGCCTTTAGGAAAATTTAAATTTAAACTCTGACGTCCCTGAGGGAGCTATCAAGTTGTTTTAGCTCGTTCCTGGTTGGTCTGTTCAAGCCAAGTACATGAGGCTTGTAAAGTCAAGAGCAGAAGTCCCTCCCAGCAATGTTTGCCTTTCTCATTGTTCTGTACTTGCTCAAGACAGTCTCAAACATTGGAAATGCCATTGATGTTGCATAAATCTAGTCAGGCAGCTAGAACGAGTTTTAACATTTAAAGTTGCTGGGTTGAATATAGTATTTGCATTTATAGAAACAGTTTTGGCTCACACTCCTCAGAAAGCTAATTTTCATTTCTCATAGCATTATTGTATATTTAGCTATTTGTACTTTAAAAAGAAAAATTTGGAGATATGCTTCACTATCAAATTATTAATTCATTCGCTATGCATTCATTGAGCACTCACTGTATGCCAGGTGCTGTGCTAGGTCCATTGGCAGGTACCTAGAAGAAGAAGTTGTGGCCTCTGCCTGAGAGAGATGGAGAGCCCTGTAGAGGGTAGAGGCTCGTAAGTAATTGTAGTGCCGGGAATTACGTGCTTTTCTGAAAGCTGTTGCAGAATGGTATAGGAGTTCAGTAGGGATGTGTATTTCAATGTGCACCTATTTTAGGGCATTGACATATTGGATGAAGCAAGGTGGCCGCCTATTCTACTGTGAGCTCTTCCTAGTAAAGCTCGGATTTCAGCAATTTGCTCTGGCTAACTTTAAATGGGACATCTAAGCTGAAGTTGGCAGGCATTCAAATTCATGTCTCCTTGGGGCCAATCTATTCTGTTCCATGCCATGAAACTTCAGCTGTTGAGGAAAGAGCAACTTAGCTGTCTCATCCCAAAAATCTAGAACAAGTCTAAAGATCTATGTAGAAGAGTAGCGAGGTAAATTATGGTATCTCCTTAGGACAGAATTTTGTGAACTTATTGAAAGCTATAGGAAGGAAGCATTTAAAAAGTCGAGGGGAAACACTTAGGACAGAATATTAAATGAAACAAATATATAATATTGTGCATACTGGGAACTCTTAACTATGTGAAAACAATGCATTGAACAAGGAAAATATGTCAAAAGATTAATGGGATTATGAGCAATTTTTATTCTCTATTTTTCTGCATTTCCTAAGATTTCTACAATGAGCGTATTTCTTTTAAAATCACAAAAAATAATGCCTATTTTGAAAACCAATCCATTTTGTTCCTATAGCTTGGCAGGTCGAGTGAAGCACATTGTCCACCAGGCCTTCTGGGACGTCTTAGAATCAGAACTGAATGCTGAGCCTCCCGAGTATGAACACGCCATCAAACTGTTTGAAGAAATCAGAGAGGCAAGTTGATGTTGTCTGTATTAATTAGTAATTTTTTTCCCTGAAGACTGTTTTCATGTCTTCCAAAAAGTATTGGAGACTCTTTTTGAAAAACTGAATAAGTTCTGTCACTAGAAGGGTTTTTCCCTGCACCTCCTGGGGTGGGGTGGAGGCTGGGAAAACAGAATAGTGGAGGGAACGAAGGCAGTGCTGAGCGCACAGAGTGCTGGTTATAGCGGTTAAGAGCACCGACTCTGGGAGCCGGCCCCGTGGCTTAGCGGTTAAGTGCGCGCACTCTGCTACTGGTGGCCTGGGTTCAGATCCTGGGCACGCACTGACGCACCGCTTCTCCAGCCATGCTGAGGCAGTGTCCCACATACAGCGACTAGAAGGCTGTGCAACTATGACACAACTATCTACTGGGGCTTTGGGGAAAAAAAGGAGGAGGATTGGCCATAGATGTTAGCTCAGAGGCGGTCTTCCTCAGCAAAAAGAGGAGGATTAGCATGAATGTTAGCTCAGGGCTGATCTTCCTCACAAAAAAAAAAACAAAAAACACAGACTCTAGAGTTAGATAGACCTGGCTAGGGATAGGCTCTCTCTCCTTACTTCTCAGTGTCCTGAGTACTTACAGGGTAGTTGTGAGAATTAAATGAGATGATAGTTACAGTTTAGCTAACATTTACAAGACACTTGCTCTGTGCCAAGCATTAGATTATTCATTTATCCTTACCCTAACACTGTGAGGTAGTTACTTCTGTTAATATACATAAAGAAGCTGAGTTCCCTCGCTCGCCCAGGGTCACAGAGCTTTGAGGGTTGGAGAAGGGTTTGAACTGAGGTACTCTTGCTTGGAGCCTGTGCTCCTAACCACATGGTGTGTGTATAAGTACAGTGTCTGTTGAGTAGTGAGTACTCTGTATAGGTTGCGTATATAATATGTAATAAATATTTTGTATGTAAAATATACCTATGGAGCCCATGGGGTGTTTCTATTTGCTCTTCTTTAAATGGGTTCTTTTGGAGCCATGATCTGCAACTTGTTCTTTCTTTGCACGATTTATCTGTAAACTTTTTGAAGTTCTTTCAGTAATATTGCTTCCTTGCCATTTGTTTTCATTCTGATAGTGTTAGTAACTTCCCGTGGGGTGGCCTTTGATTCAGAAGATACAGCCTTCTTTTTAGAGTCGAGACGCTGGAGTGCTCCTCTGATCCACCACCCAGTCAATGTCAACTTCTGTGGCATCCAGAACATGAAAATATGGACAGGGAGCTTGGTCATCTAGATAGTGAAATAAAAAATGACAAACTTTATTCATGTAACAATGCTGTTAATCTTTCTTTCCTTCTTTCCCTGTGTAGATTCTTCTCTCGTTTCTGAGTCCTGGTGGCAACCGGCTTCGCAACCAGATCTGTGAAGTTTTGGACACAGACCTCATTAGGCAGCAGGCTGAGCACAGTGCTGTGGACATCCAGGGCCTGGCCAACTATGTCATCAGTACAATGGCAAAGCTGTGTGCTCCTGTGCGAGATGATGACATCAGAGAGCTAAAGGCCACAGGCAACATCGTGGAGGTGCTGAGGTTAGCGCTTATGCTGCTTGCGTTTTCTTAGCGTACATTTGAGTTGATTCAAAAGGGAAGTGTGGGAATTGAGGAACACAGAATAACTGGTCTCCCAAAGGAATCCTTGACCCTAGGGAAAAAACAAATAAGCAAGGAGCAAGTCAGTCATTTACTGTGTACGTACAGTTTTCAGATAGAATGACCTAACGAGGTTGTTAGTTGGCATGTGCTGGGCCCGAGGGATGCAGTGATGAGGAAAACAGATACGCTCCCTGACCCAGGAAGTTTACAGTCTAATGGGGAGACAGACCTTGGACAAGAAATTACAGCTGTGACAAGTGCTATGGAAGGGGAGGTAGAGGGGATTAATAGAGCCTCCAGCAGGGGGACCTAATCTAGTCAAAGATTTAGGAAGCCTTCCTTATTAGTTAGGGTAATGCTAGCTGCTATGACACATAAACCCTGAATTCTCAGTGATTTAACCAATAAAATTTGTTTCTTGCTCATGTCACAGTCCGAGTCAGGGGTTCTTGGTCTGGCAGCCTTCCACACGTGATTCAGGGACTCAGGCTCCTTCTCTCCTTGGTTCACGCTCGCCCGGAGTCCTTGGAGTCCTTTACATTAGCTCGTGAATGGGAAAGAGATCAGAGGGAAGGCGTACCAGTGTTTAACCACGGCCCACAAGCGACACGTTCCATTGATTATAACTAGTCCCACAGTCCCACCTGGATTGAAGGGGGCCTGGGAAGTGTGGTTGCTGTCTGGAAACACATTTCCCAACCATAAATCCGCATGGTGGAAAGGGAGCATGGACCTTTGGTGGTCGGCTAGCCATCTCTGCTGCAGCTTCCCTGAGAAAGTGAGGTTTACATTAAAATAGTGAGAATCTCGTCTGGCTGCGTAGACAATAACTTCTTTGGGATCCCAGAGGAAAGAGGAGTCTACAGTACTTTTTACCACTGAGGGGAACTTTTCTCCCTTTTTTTGAGAATATGGCCACATTGAGAATTAAGTTTTACGTAATAGTATTGGAAAGATAGAAGGAAACTGGTTTGCTTTTAGTGGGTAACTTTATGACCTTTGATAACTGCTCAAAGTCATACTTTTCCCCATCTGTAAAATGGGCTGCATGTAGCCTTAGAGTTGTGCTCAGCTCTGGCAAGTTGTGATTCTTCAGTTGCAGAATCCTTGCTTTGAGTGATCTTTTTACCCGTGTGTGATATCAAATCTGTGCTCTTCCTCTTCGTCATATATTGACCGCCTACTGGGTGCGTGTTTTACATTCTTTATCTCATTGAGTCTTCACAGCATCCCTCCGAGGTTGATCTTGTCCTTTTCTTTCACAGACGAGGAAGCTAGGCTCAGAGAGACTAAGTAACTTGTGCCTGGCCACAGAGCTGGTCAGTTGCAGAGCTGCATTTGAGCACAAGGCTGCCCAACTCTAAAACTAAGTATTTTTCTCCTGCACCTCGCTGTCCTGTCCTTTCTTCTCTTTCTTTTTTTTTCTCATTCCCTTAGGAATACAAACCATATACACTATGTTCAGACTCCTTAAAATTTCAGAGACTTTCAAATGAAAATTCCTTCTTGAATCTTTTCTGTCTCATTGTTAAGACTCATTGTTTATACTTCCTAGCGTCTTTCTATCAGTTTATGTCTAGATGTCATGGATCAGCTGGAGGGATTACATTTGCTAAAGCAAATACTCTTGAGATCTGTGGAAGAATACATTTGGAGTGCACATGTAATGCCTTCTATGAAAAGCAACCTTGCCAATGGCAATTGGAATTTCAAGACCGTTTTGGGGATGTTTGTGTTTTCCAGCCTGTAAAATAGATAATAGTTCATGAATTTCAGCTTGATTTCTTGATCACCTGTCTAACTATTTTAACTCTAAAATTTTTAGACAAATATTTCATGTCCTGGACCTCATGAAAATGGACATGGTCAATTTTACAATTAGGAGTCTAAGACCACATCTTCAACGCCAGTTGGTGGATTATGAGAGAACCAAGTTCCAAGAAATTTTAGAAGAAACTCCAAGTAAGTACAATATAATGTGGATATATGTTGAAATTGGGTGAAAATATGATATTTTTATTTTTGACATCTTAAGTAGTGTCACTGAAGAATTTTGGCTTTTCTGTTAAACATTTTTTTAACTTCTGAAATTGACATCACAGACTTATAACTGTTTACATGTCCCAGGAACTGTGCTAAGCACTATTCATTTCTTAATGCATTAAAAAAAGGTTTATAGAGCACCTGCTGTGTCCCAGACACTGCTTGGGTGCTGTGAATACTGCAGTGAACAAAACAGAATAAAGTTGTGTCCCCAAGGACCTGACATTCTTATAGGCATGACAAATAAATAAACATATGTTGTCAGATGTATCATTAAGTGCTATGAAGAAAGGTAGGATAAAGGGACAGAGAGTCAAGGGGCAGGAGTGAGGGCGGAGGGTGTTTTTTCAGGTAGACTGGGAAGGCCTCTCTAAGAAGTAACATTTGAGCAGAGTTTGCAAAGGAATGAGGAAGGGGCATGTGAAGATGTGAGGGAAGAACATGCCAGGCAGAGGGAGCTGCAAGTACAAAGGCCCTGAAGCAGAAACTTGCTTGCGAAGTTGGACAAACACAAGGCAGACAGTGTGGCTGGAGTAAAGTAGGCAAGGAGAGAGTGGTTGGAGATGAGGCCGAGAAGTAGACAAAGGCAGGTCATATAGAGCCTTGTTAGAAAATGAAGGGAATTGAGATTTCATTCCAACTGTGATGGGAAGTCATTGGAGAGTTTTGAGCAGGGGAGAAACATCTGATTTTCATTTTTAAAGAATACTCTGGCTCCTATGGGAGCAAAGAGGGAAGCATGGGCACCAATGAGGTGGTATTGCAATTGTTCAGGCAAGAAATAATGGTGGTTTGGTCCAGGTGGTAGTGCTGGAAATAGTAAAAGGTCGGATTCTGGATGTGTTTTGAAAGTATAACAACAAGATTTGCTGTAAGTTGAATGAAGGAAAAGGGAGGAATTGAAGATGACTCTAAGGTTTTTGCCTGAGCAACTGGGTGAATAGTGATGCCTTTTAGTGAGATGGGGGAGACTAGGGGAAAGAAGGTTGACAGGTGGTGTGGAGTCAAGAATTCAGTTTAGATGTATGAACTTTGAGATCTTGTTTGACACCAACATGGAGATGTCAGGTAGGCATTTAGGTATAGGAGACTCGAGTTCAGGGAAGTGGTGGGAACTGGGGATACACATTTAGGAATCATCAGTATATTTATAGTAGATAAAGCCATGGAACTAAGTAATAGCTAACATGTATAAAGGGGTTACCACATTCTAAGCACTTTACCTGTATTAACTAATTTAATCTTGACAACAACTTTAGGAAATTACTGCCCATTTTATGGATGAGGAAACTGAGGCACAGAGAGGTTAAATCACTTGCCTCCATAAGACAACTTGTAAGTGATGGAGCTGGGACTCACCCAGGCAGCCTGACTCCACGGCCCATGCTCTTCTCCACAATCTTACACTGGATGAGATTACCTAGAGAGAGAGTGCAGATACTGAGTGGGCCTGACAGAGACTCTAGAGCATCTAGAGCTTGAGGAGAGGAGAAGGATCCAGGAATGGAGGCTGAGAGAGTAGCCAGAGAGGTGAAGAAAGCCAGGAGAGGGTGGTGTCCTGTGACACAAGTGAAGAGAGTGTTTGGAGAAGGAAGACATATGTTCAGCTCTGACAAGTGCTGCTACGTGCTCAAGAAAGATGAAGGCCAAGTCTTGACCATTGGATATGACTGCATGAGGACCCTTGATAGCCTTGATGGGAGTAGTGTCAGTGGTCTGGTGGGCATTAAAACTGGACTGGAAGCGGGGAGGACAAGAAAGAATGGGAGTAGAGGAAGTATTACCTCATTGAATCCTCACAGTTACTCAGTGAGGTAGGTACTGTTAGACCCTTCGTTTCACAGGTGAGGAAACTGAAATGCCAGATGTTGCACAGCTGGCAAGGGGCTGGCTAACTGGTTCCCCCATTGGCAGATACTTGACACCAGCCTCTGGGCTTTAACCACAGTCTAAAGCTCAGGTGATCCATCCACCTCACCCTACTCCTCATGGACTGAGCCTTTCTGTCAGGATAGTCAACGTGATAGTCTTAGGTAGACAAAGCCAAATGGGTGCCACTTTTAAAGGGGCTCTGGCAGGCTAGAGCGGGTCCGAGGAAGAGAGTATGGGTCATGGAGGGTCACATGAGGAACAGTTGATGAAGCTGGGCACATTCTGCTTGGTAACAAGGAGACTCAGGTGGGCCACGAGCACTGCCCTCCCTGTTGGTAGCGATTCAGGGACTTTGGTTAAGCTCTGTAGAGCAGACTAGGATCCATGGGACGAAAGTAGCAGACAGCCAGGTTTGACCTTTGTAGGAGCTGGAACTGATTTAACTTTGGAATGAGCCTCTCTGTTACTAATAGTAAGCAGTGCTAGCTAACATTTTGTTTGAGCACTTATGTGCCAAGTCCTTACTGTGTGCCAAATACTTTACATTTATTAGGCAATCAAGCCTCACATTAGCCCTGTGAGGCTGGTACTGTTATCACCTACTGTTTATAAACAAAGAAATGGAGGTTAAGGTACTTATTCTAGGAGACTGCTAGTAAGTGGTAAAGCCTGGATAACCCAGATATGTCTCTTCCCCAAAGCATGTGCATTCAACCTCTATGCGCCACGGCCTCTCTTCAACAAGATAGCAACTGTCTTTGTGGGATTTGCAGAAGGATTAGATGCGGAATGATTAGATGACTTTTAGGATCCTTCCACCACAAAAATTCTATGACTTCAGGGCTATATTGTTTTAGCTCCAAAGGGAGGGAGGGATTAAGGGAAATAGAACCCTACACAGAACCTGAATTATAGTAACTGTATTCTTAGCAGCATTTTCCTGAGACTTATTTGTTGGTTTCATCTGTGTGCCTGTGTATGTGTCTTTATACATGTGTGCTGATGTCGCCATGTCTTGAATCAAGACCGCTTGAGCAAACTCCTTAATTTAGGGTTGAATTACACTTTTGTTCATCTCAAATGATTTGTTTCTCTCCTTAAAATCTGGGCTTAGTGACCTGTAACTCATTTGCACCTTTCACATTGACTTGGATATTTTCAGAGATTTAAGAATAGACTAAATCCAGCTGTGCATATAGGTCATTATTGCCCAGCTCTAAATATGTTCCCAGAGATATCAAGAGTCCAGGAAGCAGAGTGTACGTCAGCTGTAATTATATACTCAAGTCACTCTGCCAAAAGTCGGCCACTGTGCCCTAATATCAAAATAAGAGCCTAACAGTATTGCACAGAAGGACAGAAGTGCTGGATTTTTGTGTGTACATGATTTTTATAAAATAATTATTGGAAAATTAATACAGAGAAGTACTCTAGATTTCTGAATTGACTCCAAAAAAGATTATATTTTACCGACAGAGAAATTTTATGTAATTGCCTTATTTAAAATACACCCAGGAAAGCCTTATGCAATGATTGAATGTACTAAGCATCAACAAAGTAACCACATTAGATCCAACAACTAAATTACCTGTGGAAAGAGTAACAGATTACCCTTGGGGGGCCAGACCACAAGTAATTTTTAAGATACTCAGAAAGAAAAGGTTTTATTTATTTAGATAATATCTTATATCTGATAAAATGTTCCCATGAACTTCATTTCATGTGATTCTTTCAGAAATCCTATGGGACATAAATATTTTTCCAAAATACATCAGACTGCATTGTGATTTTCTTTGCCTGGCACACGAGGCATTCAGGAAATATTTATGGAACATTTTAAAGACGAGCAAACTGATGCTCAGCAATGACCTGCCCGAAGACAGAGTCACACAGCTAGTAGGTAGTGGAGCTAGGACTGGTGGCCAGGTTCCCCACAGCCAAGCCAAAATTAAATCAAGCTGCTGCTTTGGCTACTTTCTTTGGATTTTTCAGTTTTATGTTATATCAGCTGGGTTATAGTGCAAGCATCAGAGACTAACTCTGGCTGATTTAGCAAAAAAGGAAGTGAATGGAGGGATGGGGGCAGTTCACAGAAAAGCTTAAGTACCTGAGCCTGACCAAAGCCAGAAACCAGGAGAGCGTCGGGAATCTGGGCAGGAAGAAACAAGGGATGTTTTTTTTGTTTGTTTTTTCTTTTTGTAAGGAAGTTTGGCTCTGAGCCAACATCTGTTGCCAATGCTCCTCCTTTTTTTTTTTTTTTTTTTGCTGAGGAAGATTAGCACTGAGCTAACATCCATGCCCATCTTCCTCTATTTTTATATGTGGGACACCGCCACACATGGCTTGAGGAGCGGTGTGTAGGTCCACACCCAGGATTTGAACCCATGAATCCCGGGCCACCAAAGTGGATCATGTGAACCCAACCACAATGCCACTGGTCCGGCTGCATCAGGATGTTTAATGTTCACTTCAAAATGGGCCGTCCTTGAATGTTGTAGTCACCATTCATAGTCCCAGGAAAGAGTCTGACGGGCGTATGACTCAGCTAGGCCAACCTCTGCTCAGGGAGGTTGCCTGGTCAGGGGGCCTCTTAATTGATATTCACAAAAGAAAGCATGGAATGAGGGAAAAGGATTTCTCAGAGAAAATCAGTGCCAAAAGATGGGGAGGTGAGGTGTTGGGGCCGTCCCGGTGGTATAGTGGTTAATTTCACACACTCTGCTTTGGCGGCCCAGGGTTCACAGGTTTGAATCCCGGGTGCAGACCAACACACCACTCATCAAGACATGCTGTGGTAGCATCCCACATACAAAATAGAGGAAGATGGGCACAGATGTTAGCTCAGAGCCAATCTTCCTCAGCAAAAAGAGGAAGACTGGGAACAGATGTTAGCTCAGGGCCAATCTCCCTCACCAAAAAAAAAAACAGATGTCATGGATAAGGGAATGACACTCTCCTAACTGAAAATGGGGGTACTTGGTCTGAATATTTTCCAGAGTATTGAATATGGCGGCCATCTAAAGCTTTGTACAACATCAGGGGTTCTCATTCATGTATTCTGCACCATTCTCCTAGTTTATGTGAATGGTGCCTGCTCGGTATTTTACAGGCCAAGAGCTAGCCTGGCCATCCCCCAAATCCAGGATGTAGAGTCACTGCCTCTTTAGGGGTCACTCAGATTTCATGCTTAAGTACCATATTAGAAGTCAGCAGAGATGGGAATTGTATTCCTTGATGAATCCATATGGAGATACCCTCAGGCATTCATCTCAGACAGCGCAAATACATATAAAAACAGAGATGAATCTCAAAAACCTTAAGTTGAATGAAAGTCTTTCATACTAAACTGGCAGATTTTATAGGACATTCCCCTGACTGAACTCTTTGTAGCACTAAATTGCACAGTCAATGGCTTTTACAAAATGTAAATATTTACATGTGTGTTTAGTGTTGATAAAGCTTTGTGTGACTTCAACCTGAGTTTACTAGGTTTTTGTCTTAGATTCAGTGACTTAGTTGGCCAACTCATAAACCATATCTTCTTTTTTGAACTTGGTTCAAGTATGCTATACAAACAATAAAATGTGCCCACTTTAGGTGTATACTTCTGTGAGTTTTGGCAAAAGAATATGCCCATGTAACCACCCCCACAAACGATATAAGCATTTCTGTCACCCCAAAAAGAATCCTCATGCCCCTTGCAGTCAACCTCCCCCCATCGAGGTAAACACTGATATAATTTTTATCACTGTAGGTTATATTTGCCTCTTTTACAACTTCATATTAAAAGGAATCATACTCTGTGTTCACTTTTCTGTCTAACTTCTTTCATTCAACTTAAGGTTTTTGAGATTCATCCGTGTTGTTATATGTATCAATAGTTTGTATTACTGAGAAGTATCCTCTTATATGATTTTACCACACTTTGTTTATCCATTGACCTGTTGGTGGACATTTGCGTTGTTTCTGGTTTTAGGCTACTATGAATAAAGCTGCTGTGAACATTTGTGTACCAGTCTTAGTGTGTGCATGTGTTTTCGTTTCTCTTGAGTAAACGCCTAAGAGTGGAATGGCTGGGTCATATGGTAAAAACATGGTTAACTTTAAAGAAATTGCCAATTATTTTCCAAAGTAGTTGGGTGATTTTATCCTCACCATTGGTGTATGAGAGTTCCAATTGCTTTACATTTTCATCAGCACTAAGTATTATCAGTCTTTTTAATTTTATCTTTTATAAAGGGTGTAAAAGTAGTATCTGATTGTGGTTTTAATGTATTTCCCTGATGACTGATGATGTTTAGCATCTTTTCATATGCTAAATAGCCACTTATTTATCTTCTTATGTGAAGTGTCTATTCAAATCTTTTGCCCACTTTTAAATTGGGTTGTTTTATTATTGAATTGAAGAGCACTTTATATATTCTGGAAACAAGTCCTTTGTCAGATTTATGTGCTGTGAAAATTTCTCCCCATCTGTGGCTTGCTCTTTTCATTTTCTTAACACTATCCTTTGAAGAGGAGAAGGTTTTAATTTTGATGAAGTCTAAATAATCAAATTTTTCTTTTATAGTTTGTACATTTAGTGAACTGTCTACAAAATCTTTGCATACCCCAAGGTCTTGAAGAATTTTTGAATGTTTTCTTCTTCTCTCTATTGTGTGTATGTGTGTGTGTGTGTGTACACACACACACACACACATACACAATCATGTTGCCTATAAATAAAGACAGTTTTACTTCCTTTTTTTTAATCTGTGTGCCTTTTATTTATTTATTTTTCTTGCCTTATTGCACTGACTAGGCCTTCCAGTCAAACGATGAATAGAAGTCATGGGAGAGGGCATCCTTGCCTTTCTAGGGGAAGAATGTGCATTGTTTGGCCATTAAGTATGATGTTATCTGTGGCTTCTTATAGATGTCCCTTTTTGGCTTGAGGAAGTTTTCTTCTATTTCTAGTTTGCTGAGAATTTTTATCTAAATAGGACACGTGTTAAATTTGCTCACATGCTTTTTCTGCATCTGCTGAAGTGACCATGTTTTTTTCCTTCCTTATTGTGTTAATGTGGTGACTTACAGTGATTGATTTTTTTTCTCATGTTGAACCCACCTTGCAGTCCTGAGATGTTCATCTCACTCCTCGGTCCTGGTGTATTATCTTTACCTTATGGCCTTGCTAATGCTTTCTTAAGGGTTTTTGCATCTGTATTTATGAAAGATATCATCACTCTATAATTTTCTTTTCATGTAATACCCTTGCCTGATTTTGGTATCACGGCAAAACTGGCCTCATAAAATGAATTGGGAAGTATTCCCTCCTCTGCTTTCTGAAAGAGTTTACAAAAAACACCTTGTGTCTTTCAGTTTGATTTGCACGCATTGTGTACATTTGTAAACATTTTACTGGATAACAGTGGGAAAGGACAGATAGCTGCAGGCATACAGGACCGAACCAATTTGTCAGTCTGAAGGAGACTATTTGAGCTGATCCTTAACCCCACGGTTACCTCTAGAGGTGGTGAATTAAATTGGAAACATACCAGGTTTCTCATGCCAGATATAGAGAACAGAGGCTTTCTGAGCACCTACTATGTGACAAGCACCACTGGAAAAACATGTGATTAGTTTCCAAAGCAAATGGGTCTGGCAAGACAAAACCAAACATTTCACACACCTATCAAGGTGTGCTGTGAGCTAAGTCAAGGGAAAGAGAAATAAACAATAAAGGTCATAGATTGGACTCTCAGTGAACTCACTAGTGAGATGAAAATGAGACTAAGGCACATGAAATGTTTAATGACAATTTTTTTAAAATAGAGAAGCCGTTTTTCAGTTGAGCTGTTTAAGAGAAATGACAGCCAGATCAAAAATTCAGAGGTGGGGGGCGAGCCCCGTGGCATGGTGGTTGAGTTTGGCACACTCGCTTCGGTGGCCTGGGTTCACAGATTTGGATCCCGGGTGCAGACCTACACCACTTGTGAGCCATGCTGTGGCAGCATCCCATGTACAAAATAGGGGAAGATTGGCAACGGATGTTAGCTCAGGGCAAATCTTCAAGAAAAAATAAATTCAAAGGTGGGGCTGTTCCAAGAAGGGAAAGATAAGGATGGGTCCATACTACCAAGAAAGGCTTCCCACAGGAAGGGAGATTTGGCCGCTAAGGACTGGCAGGATTTGGGTTTAGAGAACCAGAGCGAGTTTCACGGGGGTGAGGCCAAGCCTCCCTGGTGGGAAATCAGGAGCATGTATTGAGCATGAAGTCGGGTGTGGCAGTCTTGGGCCTTCACTGCTCATTGGAAATTCTTAGATAAATGCACCTGTAAAGCCATTGCCTATTCTTGGGTTTGTCTCTCCTAGTAGACCAGGAGCTGCTTGAGTGCTGGGACTATGTTTACTCACCTAAGAATCCCCAGGACTGGGTGCAGTACTTGGTGTAGGATGGGTAGGTGCTCAGTTATCATTGAATAAACGAGTGAATGGAGAGGCTCTCATTACTGTCCACATGACAAACCAAGGGTACAAGTGCCTCATGGGGTTGACTTTGCTTTTGGAGCCACATAGAGCAGTGAGTGTACTAGCTTGTGGGAGTGAAATCTCAGCAGATCCCATAGAGAAAAGTTGATCTTTCGCTCTAAACTCGTGCTCTTTCTGCTTTACCAGTCATACTGAGTTCTCTGCATATTAGGATCACCCGGGGTGTTTCAACACAGATGCCTGAGCCCCATCTCAGACTGATTAAATCAGAATCTCCAGGAGTTGTGCCCAAGATCGTTTTTTTCCTTTTAAAGCTCCCCAGGTGATTCTAAAATCAGCCAGGATTGGGAACAACTATGCTACACTGTTGCTTTTGTTTGATAACCAAATAGGCTGTTAAATGTGTCAGCTGTAAATGATTAAGCTGGCAGTATAAATGCTTATTACTGCCACATTGTAATTATATCCATGATGATTTCCACTCCCCCTCTCTCTGTTGGATATCTTTTAAATAAAAGACTGCCAGTCTTTTACATCTTTATAAACAGAACTAGAAAAACCAAGAACAGCATTTGCTAACTGAGGAGAAACAAAGTTGTGGATCTGGGGGTGGTGTTGCTTTAGTGTGGCAAACAGAACTACTCATAAATTACCCCTGTTCAAGTGTGGGGTCAGAGGAACAATTTCAGGGTGACTATACTTTATCTTGCTCTCTGGCTCTTTTTTAACCACCTGCACCTGTGTTCAGTCTGAATTTTTTTAGCAAGTGCCACCTTATAAATTCTACCCAATATATAATTTTATAAGAAATGTGGTATAAAAAGCAGTTTGTTTCTAGTGGGAAACCTTAGTATTGGGTCTAAAGCACCATAAAGTGTGCCCACCAGCGGGCATGTGCATTTTGATAAAGACAGTTCTAATCAGACGGAGGGGTCCAGGACTCAAAAATGTTTAATAATCAATGCCTTTAGTCTAAATATCTTCTCTGCACAAAACTCAAGGTTGTGTGTGAGCTGGCATGTGTACCCATCCGGGGCCATCTAAGTCTTCCCCGTAGTTCTTTAATGGACCAGCAATACAGATTTGCTTGTAGCATCCAGAACGTACCATATTCTCTCACTTTTCCAGGTCTTTGTATTGGCTGTTCTCCTGGCCTGGAGTGACAGCCCTTTCCTCTGTCTGCCTTGTGTCTTCAAGTGTCACTTGTGGAACTCTTCCTCTTAGACTCTGCCCTGGACAACCTCTGCTCCCCTCGCTCCCACTGTGCCTTCTACTATTCAGTGTATCCTGCTGTAATTGTTAGTTTACAGGTCCGTCTCCCCATCTGGACTATAACCTCCTTGGGGGGGCAGGGGGCTGTCTTTTCATTCCTCCTCAGCACCTGACATAGCATCTGTCATGTAGAATGCACAAATGAAGGGGTCCATTAGCTGTAGGACAAATATGTGGCCTTTTCACTTGTAGGTGCTCTTGATCAAACTACAGAATGGATCAAAGAATCTGTAGATGAAGAATTACTTTCTCTTTCTGAGACTGCTTTAACTCCTGGGGCCGAAAACAGCTCCAAGCCAAGCCTGAGCCCTACACTGGTGCTAAATAACAGTTATTTGAAACTGTTACAGTGGGATTATCAGAAAAAAGAATTACCTGAGGTGAGTGATTTTTTTCTTCCCTCAAGTTTTCCACTATTTTAATTCTTAAGTTCTAACTGTGAATCAGCTGGTCTGTCTGCATTGCATGTGGTTTAGTGACCTCACTGAAATCAGATAAAAGTGGGAGTTTGGATGTAACATTGCTTATTTTACATTTTCATGGTATTGAGCTTCCCTTTCTATTTTTACATTTTAAATAAATATGCTAGACACTCATGACAGATGGAGCACGTCTTCAGGAACTGACAGAAAAGCTGAATCAATTGAAAATTATTGCCTGCCTATCCCTAATTACCAACAACATGGTGGGTGCTATTACAGAAGGCCTCCCTGAGCTTGCAAACAGGTTTAAAAGGATTTCAGCTGTTCTCCTTGAAGGCATGAGCAAAGAGTAAGTTCCAAGTGTTTTTGTCTGCTCCCTCTTATACGTGTTTCAGAGAACGTGAATAACCTTGGGCATCTGGATGTGATATTCAGGACTGTGATTTAGAGAAGCTTATCTTACACCTTTTTCTAGAATTTCTTTTAATATCTCTGAAGGCTTAGACGTCCTTTCATAGGAAGAGAGAGGTCTTTTCCATGACAAGTGCCAGGGTGAGTGTAGTATTTCCACTTAGGGTGGGTATGTGTAAAAGCTCTTCTTTGACAGAGCTGTGGAAAAAACAAACAAAACCCAGAAATCCACCAAGCTCAGTGTTTAGAATGCCCTGTCAAAGAGGCTTTCCAGATTAAGTTGTTCTGACATCACCATTTTTCTGTAGTGAAATGTTCACCAACTTTACTGAACCAGCCTACTGTGAAGCCTTTAGAAGTGGTCACATCTCTATCCCTTCAAAGATGTTATACAAGTCCAGTAAAGGTTTTGTTTTTTCAAAATTCATTCGCAGTATCATACCTCCATTGAATACTAGAATCCCATTTAGATTTTGCATTTAGATCATCCTGTTGGGAATCCTGTCCAAGTCAAAAGATTCCTAATCTTAGTCAATGACCAGAGTTTTCCATGGTCTTATATGAGTCAGCTCCTCCTGCTGGTTCCCCTTTCAGGTGTTTTCAGGGGCTCGTACTCTTTGTTCCTCTCTTTGAAGGGAGATGCACCTATCCTTCCATACTCCTGCCCTTTGCCCAGAGAGCACATAAATTCATTGATAAAACCCTAGAATACTAAGAGCCAAAAGGAGCCCGAGCGGTTACAGAATCCAAAGTTCATTTTGAGCTGAAATCTCGGAGAGAGAATAGGATTTGCCTTGGGCTGCACAGCAAGACAAGGGCAAACTGAGGCCTGAGCCCTGGTCCGACTGACTCAAGTGCTCCTGATTCTGGTGCTAACCTGCCAGGCTCATTTACTTCACACTCAGGACCCAAGACCTATAATGAAAAGAAACCTTCTCTGGTTTTGCAATTGGTCTAACCTTAATGTTTTCCCACACTAGGTAACCATTACTTTCCAGAAACTTCTCTTAGCCATTAGTGAACCCCCAATGCTGCTTAAATATTATTATAAAGCATATAGCAAAGTGGTTACTAAGAGGCCAGGCTTTCGGGTCAGGCCAGGATTTAAATCCCAGCTCTGCTATTGACTTATTACGTACCCTTGAACAAGTTCCTGAATCACCCTGAGCCTCACTGCCTCTCTTGCAAAAAGGGAATAATAATTGTACCTGCCTCAGAGTTGCGAGAACTCAAGATAATTCATGTGAAACACTTAGTACAGGTGTCTGGGACATAGTAAGTGCTCGATAAATGTTAGGTTTTAATAACTATGTAGTTGTTATATCACCCTCTTGATAGTTGTTCTGCCTGTTTGGTTGTATTATTGTTTTGTTTAATCCCCCCCAACCTGCTTTGGGAAATGAATATAGTTAATTCTCAATTATCTTCATTGCGGATGGGGTAATAACATTCATAACATTAAAAAGCAGATGGTTCCAAATTGTCAGGAGACCCAGGTGTCATTTGTATTTGTTTTGATGATGTATCTTGAAAACTAGCAAGAGTTTTGGCTTCTTTATTGTGAATAGGAGGCCATGGTTTACGCTAAAATTAGTTTCTCCCTTAGCCTGAGAACTCACTGATTAAAAGCAAGAGGAAGCTAGGGCAGCAGCTTTTGTTTTTGGTAGTGGGTAAAAGTCAAGAGATAAAAATTTTGTTATCAATTATCTACCTTTGGGTCGTAGAACTCCAAAGGCAGGTCCAATGTGGATTTATAACAAATTCCAGTCAAGGCAGAACACCAAGGACTTATTTCTTATTGTTGTTAATGATGATGATAATGATAAACAGTTTTTCTCTTCTTCTTCTCGTTAAGCATTTGCTACATGCCTGACAATCTGCCGAGAGCTAATATAGTCACATAGCAAATTTAGTGGTGGAGTCAGGATTTGAACCCAGATCTGCCTGTCACCACATCTTATGCTCTAACCACTGCATTACACTGCCTCCTATCATTGGGCCTGTGTCTCATCCTTTAATTCCCATTTTGAGCAGAGCTATCTAATGACCTTTCTGGATAGTGAGATGCAATTTTCAATCATGATTCCCCAATAGTGTGGACCCAACAAATGCACTTTCTAATTACCTCTTTTTCTTTACCTATTAAATAACCCACTGCTAATTACTCTTTACAATTTTCTGGACTCTATATATTTGGATTATTGATCAGTTACCTGAAAGTAGCAATGAGAATGAGCTTCTTATCTTTATGGTGTTGACCTCTGAGTATCTTCATTTCTTGTTTTTGATTGGTGTTATAGATTTCCTGCTCAGGCATGGATAAAGGAATTGATTCTACCTCATTTTCCAAGCTAAAAAAAAAAAAAAAATCTATGAATGAATCCAGTCAGACTAAAGGGTTTATTTTCAGGAGTAAATAGGTATTTTCTTTCATTTTCTGATAGCCCTGCATGAAAATGGTTTTCAGACTTGTTTTCAGGGACCACATTTTTCTGCCTATGCTTTCCTATTTAAACACTGCCTACAGAATTGAGTGGTTTTAAGCATTGAAAAAATCTGCTACATGTAAGGGTTGGTGGTTGGGAGGAGTTACTGTTTTCTAAGTACATTCTAATAGAGGTAATTATTGTCTGCATAGGAGAAATTAGTAGATATTTGAAATAAGTTGGTATATTAAAAACAAAAACTGATGAACAACAACTATCCCTGATGAGATTTTGTTTCATGTTTTGTAGGACCTTTAACTTGAAGGAAGTCCTGAATTCTATTGGTGTTCAGACTTGTGTTGAAGTTAACAAGACCCTGATGGAGAGAGGTTTACCCACTTTAAATGCTGAGATTCAAGCTAATCTCATAGGTCAATTTTCAAGCATTGAAGACGAGGACAATCCTGTCTGCTCTTTGATTGGTGGGTCCTCATGTTTTCATTGGTTTCTCCTTCAATTCTCCTTCAATTTGCTTTAACTCGCTGATTTTGACTAAAGTTAAGTGCCAGTCAAATTTTAGTCTTAAGCAGATAACCTGCTTCTTTTGGAGAATAAATATTGAAAATATGAAGAAAGTGTTAATATTTTCAGAGGTTTGGGACTCACTACTTGTGTGTGTAGTGGAGTAGGGGGGTGCTTCAGGGCCTTCTATCCTACTATCAAGCCAATAGATTTTTATGAGGAAGATAACATAATGCTGCTGGTAATCCTAGATCAGTACAACGATCCAAACCAGATGGCAGTGTGTTCACAGAAGGTAGATATCGGTTCTGCTGTGAGCTAGCTTAAGCGAGCTGAGGGCCCCTTTCCTGGTCAGGCTTCAAGAGACAAAGGGTAAAAAGGCTCTGGAACTGGGAGGCAAGTGGGTGGGCTTTTTTTGTACTTGACTGCTAAGGAAGTGAATGTCTTAGTGTCAAGTTGTGTTGATGAATTGGGAGATGGAGAATGTATCAGTTAGGACTTTTTCTGTTACCTGTGACAGAGAATCTAAACTTCTAAACTAGCTCAAGCACAAAGGAAATGTATTTTCTTCTATAAGTGAAAAGACCAGAGATAGGGCTGGCTGCAGGTACAGCTTAATCGGAGCTCGGAGCATCACTGGCACTAGTTTCCCTGCCTCCATCCCTCAGCACTGCCTTCCTTGAGCTGGCTGTCTTCACAGATAGTCTCTTCCCATCATAGCAAGGTGGCTTCAGCTCTAGCCCACGTCTTTCCATGTTTAAATCAGGTGAATAACAAGGAGTCAGCTTCCCTGTTAGCTCAGATGACCCCAGAATTGAGTCTCATTGGCTCCAGTTGGCTGACTGTAGGTCGTGTCCCATTCTTGAGTCAGTCATGGTGGCTGGAGAGGAAGAACCTAGGCCCGAGACATGTGTTCAGTTCCTGGAGCCAGGGTGAGTCACCTTTACCTGTAATGCCTGGTCTGAGAGTAGGGAAGAGATAATTCCCCCAAACAAAATCAGGGTGCTGTGGTCATAAGAAGGGGGAGAGGGTGATGTGGGGCACAAAGCAAGTGTGTACTATAGAGGGTGAGGAATAAAGACGAAGGAGGAAAAGAGTGTAGAATTAGAATATACTAACATTCTGGGACTAATCTGCAAGTTTCCAAAGTACAACTTTGACTTCACTAAGAATACAGATACTTGCTGTTATTTGTTTGAGGCTCTCAAAATAGTTTCTCTCATCCTTATCCCTGGGTGCCTGGAATGCTGGACATCTAGGCCACACAGGCTGCTTAATAGCTCAAGGCTTCCACCCCTCCCCCAGAAAAGAGCAGTGCTGGTGTGCAGCACTGTGGGCTGCTGAGAGGTGACAGCTGATAACAGGAACAAGCACAGCATAACCACAGCCGCCTGTGGCTGAGCTCTTCCCTGCGTACCCTTCACTGCTGACATGCGTCTGTCCTCACAGCCTCTGGTCTCCAGCTGAACGGCTAATACCTGGGAGGTTGTGGTCCTCGGAGGAAGAGGGGCATACGGCGATCTCTGCCACATCCTGCTAGGCCCCCACTGGTGTGCAGGCCTCATGAGGGTAGGGTGCAGGTTTGTTTGCTGCTATATTCCCGTACCATGCTAGGCCTATAGATGACACTGAATAAATATTTGTGGAAGGGGTGAACGCCTCGGAGACTTGGAGTGGTTAAGGAACTCTCAACCCGAGGTCACATAACCAGCCAGCTACTGAGTCGGGGTTCTTCCCCAGCCTGTCTGACTCCAGAGCTCATGTTCTTAACTGCTCTGGTTGGCATTGTGGTCAGAGCTGGACCCTGCTGCTTGTTGGCAGGGTGGCTGGAGAATCCAGTGTCCTCTGTGCCCTTGCTCTAGATAAGGGAAGTACCTGCAATGTCAGAAGGGAGAGGGAAGCTGGGAGCTGGGAGATGCCCCCACCACGAGGTGGCCTCTTAAAATCCGGTAAAGCAACTTTTTTCCACCCAGCTCTCCCCAGTCCAACGTTCCTGTTCTTTTACAAATTGAGAGCACTTTTTAACCTCATTCAAAGTGTTGTTGCCTAGCAACTCGAATGACTCACTTGAGCGTCTCTCCTTGGATTCTGGAAGCCAAGGGCACGCCTTTGGCGGGGACTCAGTGTGGCTGTTCCTGAGTGGACAAACGCTTCTGTCACTTTAGTCTTGGCGTAAAAACTGACTGTCTGCAGAGGAGACAGAACCACTTGTAAGCATAATAACAATTTTGAAAGAGTTTCATTCTTTAAATAATTTTGCAGGAAAGTGTTTGGACCATATCTGTAATGAAAATAGACCTGGGCTCCTGAGAGTCAGGCAACCAGTCTAACAGGAAATTTAGTAGACAACTGACTCTTAATTTTCTGCCTGCAGAGGAGTTAGAATAAATTAAGCAGTTAGAGGGATCCCTGGAACATAATAAGGACTCAACCAACCTTAGCTATGGAAGATAATTAGAAAAGTTTTCTTTCAAACCAGTTTTTTCAAACGTGTGCCAAAACCAGGTAGAAATTATTTATAGATTACCTGCTTTGTAGATTATTTGCATGGTTATAGCCATGTACATTTTTAAAAGGTAATTTTCAATTGTATAAGATACATACAGGAATAATGTCTTCCTGTTGACAAATTACAGATAAGGCCCCAGTCATCTTTCACTGCCTTCTCCAGCCCTGTTCCTGCCTGACTCCCGTTGGTCTCAGTTTGCTGTTGATCTTTCGAGACCTTTTCATTCTATTCACACTTCAATTCAGTCAGCATTTGTGATGTGTCTGCCACATGCCAGGCTGGGCATATAAAGATAAAAAAGACATGGCCCTCACCCTCAGAGAGCCCATCTCTAAGAAGGGAGAGAGAGACACATTCTCAAGTCACAGTAATATGGCGTGATAGTCAAACAGATGTTAGGGAAAGCCTTGGAAAGGAGGTACTACTTTAGGCTTGGTATTGAAGGATGCTTTCAAGTCTGGGCAGAGATGAGGTGAGATGGAAGGGCATTCTAGTAAGAGGAAACAGTCTGGCTAAGACATGGACATGGGACTTTGGAAACTTTGAGTTCTAGGATTGATCTGCCTGGAACGTGTGACTTTTGGGAGAAGTGTTTGGAGATAAGAGTTTCATTAATGTCGTATTTGTCCATATTTGGTGGAGTGTATTCTCCTTAGCAAACTTTCTTATTTGTGAGGTTTCTGTTTCCAAAGCCAAAGAAAGTCCGTGGAGCAGCATGGGCTGTGGCAGGCCTGGTTTGTCTGGTACTATTTGTCCAATACTGTTGCAGCCTGATTTATTATGTATTTGCCTGCTTTTGTGAAGTGGTCTGAAACACAGATACATTGAAGCAGTGAAGCAGGAAGGCTGGAGAAGGTGGCAAACTGGAGTGCCAGTTGGGGTGGCCCTTCCTCAGTGCCTCCAGATTGTTGGCCATGTGTAGGGTGACCGTATAATTTATTGTCCAAACCAGGAAGCTTTTGAGAGTGCTCTTTTTAATTATGCCAGGACAACAGGTGTAAACTTCGACTCTCCTGGGAAAACCTGGATGTGTGGTCACCCTTGCCATATGATAATTTCGGCTCCCGAGTTTCCAGATCTCTATGTAGATTTTTCAAAAGGAACTAGAAATTTGGATTTTTACATGAAACTTTCTGATTTTAAATGGTTTCTATTTTTTAAAAACACTATGTGGGCAAAACTGGCAGTGCCATTTTACACACTCAGCTTTAGTGTACATAACTAAAATGATGGACATTAAGTATTGAGTTTTTGTAAAAGATTCTCTGCCCTACCCCAAAAGTACTCTATATTTTTTATTAGTTAGCTAGTGCTGCGTAACAAGTCACTCTCAAACATCATAGCTTAAAAAAAAAAAACAAGCATTAGTATTGCTCACAAGTCTTTGGGGCAACTGGGTAGTTCTTTTGGTCTTGCTGGACTCATGCAAGCATTTGTGGTCAGCTGTGGCTTGGGTAGGTAGCTCTGCTGATCTTGGCTCGACTTTCTCAAGTGTTTGGGAGTACAGGTTGGTCTAAGATGGCCTCAGATAGAACAGCTGAGCTTCTGTCAATGTGGCCTCTCATCAAGCCCAGGCTTGTTCACATGGTGTTGGTAGCTGGAGAGAGCAGATGCAAACCATGCCTCTTGAGACCTCAGCATGGAACTAGCATACCAACATTTCTGCCACATTCTCTATTGGCCAAAGAAAGTCATAAGGCCAGCTCCAATTCAAGACGTGAGGAAACAGACTCCAGCCTTTGATGGGAAGAGCTGCAAAGCTCCCTGGTAAAGGGCTTGGATACAGAGAGGGTGAAGAGTTAGGAATATTATTGCAATCCACCCACCATAATTAGTATTCTCATTTTTTAAAAAATTATGTGCTTTAATAATGGGACAGGTAAAGATATCTTATTTTTCCCTAGATAAACGAATCCAACTATACATGAAAAGCCTACTCTGTCTTACAAGCCCTCAAAAATGCATGCCTCCCATGCCAGGAGGCCTTGCAGTCATTCAGCAGGAGCTAGAAGTACTAGGCTCTCAATATGCAAACATTGTGAATCTCAACAAGCAAGTGTATGGACCATTTTATGCAAATATACTTCGAAAGCTGCTCTTCAGTGAGGAAGCCATGGGGAAAGCGGACACTTCATCTTCTACTAACTAAAGAGCAACTGACGTTGGATAAGAGATGGAAATCCAGCACTTCGGTACCCAGTCTGTTTCCATCGATGGCATTACAGGTGCGGCACATCCTCAGTCCTTTCCGTGGTGCAGTGTTAGCCTGAATCTGTGTAACCCAGTAATATTAGCATTGCAGAAGACATGCACATCATATAGACCCTGTTCATGCGTCATTTTCAAGTTCAGAAGAGACTTTTTAATGAACAGAAAGCAATTTGTAATTAATTATATTACCTATATAATACTTTTAAATGTTTTCTTAAGCATTTATATCTGACTTATTCATTCGACCCGTAAGGAGTTGTATTTCCTCACTTGTCACTATCAAATCTAATGATTTTTAATTTTGGTACAACTTCTTAAAGGGTTGAAAGTTGTGAGAATAACCAAGGGGACTGATGTTCTGAATAAGGGATGTGAAGTAAGCATAATTGTATTTGAAATATACAATTAAATTTTATTAATGTGTAATAGAAACTTACACAGTAAGTCCTCAGATTCCACAGTTGTACCAAATCACATTTTACAATACCACTTGTCAGTATTTGTTTAGAATTTAAATTTATTACCTACATTTTAAAGCTATAGACAAATTTTGGATAAAACCTCCCCCTTATTCATTTAGTGAAAATAGAAACAAATCCCTTCTAAAATTTTATTCTAGAGGTTGGTTTCTTCTTGTAACTTATCCTGCTGTCTGAGAGAAACAATTTTTGCACAAATCTCCTAGTGAATGTCCTTGCATTTCTCAGGCCATTGGTAAGGTTTATATAAGATTTTAATATTTTTACATAAGGCAGGAATGGTTTGAATTGGTTTACTTGTAAGAAGAAGGGAAGTTTTCTTAATAAAACGAGATCCCCATTCTCAGTGACGTTCACAACTGAAAAAGAAATAGTTGAACTCTGGACTTTTTAACCATCTAGCTTGCTAGCAAATGCCTCCTGTGCTGATTAAATTCTTACCCCACTATGACCAAGATGCTCTTCTAAGTATCATCATCTTTTGACATTCTTGAGCACTAAATCAGACTTTGCCAAGCTGGCACTAGTCGTCGTTGAGATTTTAGAGAATCTGCTTGTCCTGGAATTACATACTTCTGTTGCAGTGTTAAGGGAAGCACTACAGTTTGGGTGGACTCAGTCTAGAAAGTGCTTTATTTGCATAAAACACATTTCTGGCTGTTTTGTTTTCTAAGGACTCGTTGAACCTTAGTAGTTTGGTGGGGAAGAATGGGCAGGAAGTAAAAAGGGGTATTCCTTTCTTCCTCACCTCCTTTTCCTCACCACAACCTCCACTGTGATGCATACTTAATTATTTGATAAAGTTCTAGGACATGATTGTGTGAATAAATTATCTCCAACCTTTACATTTTGGAGGGATCTGCGAAAATCTGAGGAAATTTTGAAAGTCAGGTTTTTTTCTCACAATGACCAATACATAAATCAGCCGTTCTGCCCATTTAAGCAGCTGTGTGTGAGTGGAATTTTACTGAAGAGCACATCATTGGTCTTACCCATTTTTTTTCCTCTTCCTATATTTCCATTCTGCCCATGTTTTTCCTACGCTTAGAAACCATAAGGTGCTAAAGATTTTTGTTTTCATTTTCTCTTAAGTTGAAGTAGTTTTCAACTGTGTTCACTTCGGGGCATGGGTGGCAGGTGGGGTCTGACACAGAAAAGTAATATGGAGAGTGATTTTTTGTCGCTTGCTGAGGTGAACTATATATTTACCAGGAAAGCCAGGCGGTGTACTTGTTTATTATTAGATTGGAATCCAGCTGGTATTCTTATATACTTGATTATCCTCCAGTTGCCAGCAGGAAAACAATGTGCAAACATTTTTTTAAATGCATTTAAAACGAAGGGCATTCTGTTTCCTTTTTTTTTTAAGTGGCAAAGTAAATCTCAATGTCTCAAGTCTGGATTTAGGCAACTACCTTTATTAGGATTTTTAAATCATATCCTTTAGCATCTTGTCTATTTGGTTTTTACTTAAATGTTTACTTCTACTTTTGAGGTTTTCTTAACATGGTCTTGTTTTATAACGTCAATTTTATTAAACAGCATACACACATTTTCATTCTTCTACTGCTAAAACATGTATTGTGTGCACTAAATTTTAAAACATTAAAAATTATTTCAAGATAACCAATGTCTGTCTCTTTTTCTTTTTTTTAATTTTTTTTTATTGAGGTAACATTGGTTTATAACATTATATAAATTTCAGCTGTATGTCGTTATATTTTGATTTCTGTGAGACTACATCATGTTCACAGAGATTAGATTGGTGGTTACCAGAAGGGAAGTGGGAGAGGGAGGAGGGAGAAAGGGGTGATAGGGCACATGTGTATGATGACAGATGGCAATTTGTCCTTGGATGGTGAACATGATGTAGTCTTTGTCTTCTAAACCACCTTTGGGTAGCTCAGGGGTGGAATATTGAACAGTCTTGATAGTGTTGTTCTAGAATGGTTCCTATGGTGATTGTCAGAGCCTTACAGACATTAGGTCATGTTCATTCATTCATTCAGTCAGTCAGTCAACAAACACCTAGTGAGCCATCTACCACGTGCCCAGAAGTATCCTAGGTGTTGTCATACGTAGATGACTAGACAGACGCTGTTGTCAAGAAGTTTATAATCTAGTAAGAAGGACAAACTTGTGAACAACTACAGGAAAGTGTAATAAGGGCATAAAATAGGTACACATGGTGCTGGAGGAAAAATCATCAAAACTCTGTTTCATGGAAATCATTCTCCAGCTACAACAGGAAGGATAGGCAGGAACTTGCCACGAGGCCAAGAAAGGGAAAGGGCCCACAGACCATGTGCATGGGGAGCACAGTGTGGTGAGAAAGGGTGAGCCCAGGGGCCAGCATGCGGTCGAAGAGTGAAAGTGAGGAGAGGTAACAAGAAAGGTCCAGAGGGTCTGGGCTGTCATGCTAAAATGTGTGGGTTTTGTCCTGAAAGAGATAAAGAATCGTTGAATCTTTTGAAACAGAAGATGGTAACGGACAAATTATGTTTTGGAAAGATCGCCCTGGCAAAGAACACTTGCCCTTGGTGTTGGAAGACTCCTCTGTGTTGTGTACATCTGCACACACACACTCAAGCAGGAACACGGTACAAGCAGTAGAAATGGACTCTAACTGCAGCAGAAAAGGAGTTTTTTGGACAGTATTAATACCTCACAGAATCTACTTAATCTGAGGCATCTGGCTTGGAAAATGGGCGGGAACCAAGGCAAGGCGAGCTGCAGGACTCCAGCCAAGCTGGATTCAGTGCTGTGGCTTCAGAGGTCGGTTTCTCAACTGTCCTGGCCCCTTTGCATCATTTGCTCAAGATGTACAGTCCCAGGTATAAACATTCAGGTGGAAGAATCTAGATCAAGTGCCCTGGCTCTAATTTGCAAGGGATGGAATGAGGGAGTAGCTGAGCCTTAGACTCCCATGGTCCCACCAAGGTCACCCAACCAGGGATTTCTCCCAAATTAGAAGGGTTTGCTGAGGAGCAGAAAGAGAAAAATGCACTATAACGTACATTCATGAGGTCTTTAAAATTTCAATGTGAGAAATGGGTGAGGAGACCACTCAGTCCAGCATTGCCTCATGACACCAAAAGATCATTCAAGGAAGGGCATGGTCACAAGAAGTCAACCTTTATTGGTGTGCATAGATGAACTGGTGAACAAATAGCTCCCAAGTCTCGGTGGCCTCAGTGTAGCCTTATTTCTCAAATTATAGTTCAAAGCAGGGGGTAGGTTGGTGTTGGGGGAGGTGCTATTCCATTCAGTCATTCAGAGACCCAACTTGCATCCTTGTGACTCAGCTGTCCCCTAGATCTTTGGAGTCCTCTCCATTCACTCAGAAGATAGGGAAAGAAAAGGATTGCCCACTTCCACTTATGGCCCATTGGCCAGAACTCCATCATGTGGGCTCATCTGACTGCCAGGGAAGCAGTAAAACGTGCCCAGGAGAAAGAGGCTGACATGGGTATTGGTAAGCATTAGCGGTCTCTACCTCAAATCCCTTTAGCTTTGTTGAATAAGTCCGATGAACCTTCTTTTCATGAAAACAGGTTTAAAATCATGTGTCTACTCTGGTCTGTTAGTAGTAGCTCTGCAGAACACTGTGTTGGGAGGATTTTGAAGCCAGATCTAGGATAAGTAGTCAAGAATTCTGTGGCTGATTGGCAAAGTATGCCATGGGCATGGGGAACGCCACCTTTTTTGGCAACATATTTTTATTCCTCACTGGAACCCCTCTCAAAACTAAAGTTCAGCCTGTTCTACATCTAGGGATGTTAAGTTCCAAAATGTCCCACTCATTGTTCAGTAAATGTAGCATGGGACTGAGAGTCACAAGACCTGAGTTCGAATTCACTTCTACTACTTAATAGCTACATGAACTCGAGCCAGTCTTTTAATCTCCTTGAACCTCCATTTCCTACCCTACCTGCCTACCTGCTACCTGCCTGGCTCGCAGAGATATTGTGAGAATCAAAGGAGATAATGTATTTGCAATTGTCTGCAAACTCTAAAGCATCATGTCGCCAGAATACAGTATAGTAACTAATTTATTAGTCCCAAACCTCTCTCAAGCTTCAAGGGGTTTTAGTATTGTGATCAAGTACTCAAGTACATAAGAACAAAAACAGTCATATCTCATCAGAACCACGGTCCATTAAGCCCAACATTGTCACTGGCAGAGAAACTCAAGGTATGCAGAAGGCTTATTGTCCTTGATGTCAGTGCAAAGGGCAGTGAGAAAGCCCAAAAGGTTCTAATTTCATTCAGTATCAATTATGAGTTTATCCTCCAGGATTTAATATGGCCTTTTAGAAAGCACGTTGGTATTATCAACTTGTGCCCTCTTGTTCTCTATTTTTGAAGTTAAGCTTTATTTTTTCATTTCTAAGCTTACTCTGTTAGCCTCTCTCAGATTTCAAGGGAAAGGAACAGAGGGATTTATTGTGAGGCTTTATGAAGAAGAAAGAAAACCCAGGACTCTGTCCCAGAAGTTGCACTTGCAGGCTTGGTGGGGAACCTGGACATAATTTGTTTTCTTTCAGAGTATAATAAATTAATAGTAGCCACCGAGCACTTACCCTATGGCAAGGACTACCCTAAGCGCTTGATAAAAATGATCTCATATAACTGCACAGTGCGCTGTGAGGCAGGTCCTATCATTATTTCTATATGTGCAAAATGAGACTCAGAGAGGCTAAGGAAGTGGTCTGAGGTCACGAAGCTGGGAAGTGTGTTTGAACCCAAGAGTTGAACCCTGGAATGTGCACTCCTAACTGCTTGCTATATTGGTTTCCTTAGGTCATCCAGTCAAAAGTATTTCCCACTGTCACGATGCTGCCAAATGCTGACTTGGTGTTTACTTCTCTGCTTCTGCTCTCTGTTGCTGCCTCCCTTTTGGTGCGTCTTAATTGAAAACATCCCAGGAGAGAGAATATAATTGGGTCTATTTGCCACCAGTCAGTATGGACACCCGCTCCCCCACTCTCCTGCGTTGGGTAGGGGTCTCATGACAGACCACCTCGGCTCTCTTACCTGGCTGTCTTTGGCAGGTTCCTGGCTCCATCAGA